AAGGTTGCATATTATTCAGGACATTATTTTGAACATCTTTTGTTCAATATTGCTTATCAAAATATTTCTAACTTTCGAGATATAAAGCATCAAATATTTAGCATTCTGGCCCCTTGTGGCCCCTAATTATGTACCATACGACATGAATATCATAATATATAGTTGTAGTTTGTTAAGCTTAACATTTTTTGTTCAGTAATATATACCAAAATATTGATTGTTAAAGAGTTATCGATTAAAGACTTCTGGCCCCTTTTTGCCCTTAATGTGATGAGTCAGCGCTTTTTTCTTTGTATAATATGAAAGATCTCGATGTTTTGCACAAATTATGTTCAGTATATTTTAACAAAATATTTATACTTTAAAAGATATGATGCGAAACGTCTCAAAAAATGGGTCATGATTCGTGTCCTAAATTTTGACCCCTACCGAGCTCCCATACTAGGCACTTCCGGAAAATATCCTGACCCAGGTGCAATATGGCAGCATTTCCTCTATCATCACTAAAAATTTCAGCTTTCTAGCTTGAGCCGTTTTTGAGTTCCATCACAGACAAGGAGGTCCTCTAAATTTCGATCAAAGGGCGATAACTCCCGACCGGAAGTGAATTTCAAAAAAATGATTTGCCGGAATTAACTTCAGATGACAACGCATCGACCATGGAAATTTGAAGCAAATCGATCGAGCCATCTCCGAGAAATCTTCTGCACAAATTTTGTAAGAAGAAAAAAGAATAAAAATAATAATAATAATAATAACTAGATACGATCTCGTTGCGAGCAACGAGTGGGTCTTCCGTCCGATTCTGAAGTAAAAAACGAAAAATCTTGCAGAAAAAGTGATAAAAGAAATGGACATTCGGGGGAGCGAACCTGGGTCGCCCGCGTGACAATCCGACGCACTAACCATTCAGCCATTGAAAACACCGCTTCAAATTTTTAAATACGAAAATCTCGAGATTGCCTTTTTCGATTCTAAAACAAATTACATATTTCGCATTCGCAAAAGAGTCACTTTTAAGATATTTAATACCAAAGAAAAATATTGGAAAACAAAAAAGTTGAAAAATTGCGTTTTTTTAAATTCGCTTCCGGTATCGACCGGAAGCACTGACGAAAATTTGAAAGTATAGGTGCAAAACTACAACATGTCATCTATTAGTCCTGAAAACGACAACATTCTAGCTTTTGTCGTTTTTGAGTTTTTGTGTCGACAAAATGGTCACTAAAAATTCGATTAAAGGTCGATAACTTCCGACCGGAAGTGATTTTTGAAAAATTAAAAAAAATGGATCAAGTTTAAATCATGATACATCATCTCTGAAAATTTCAAAGAAATCCGTCCATGCATCTCTGAGAAATCGTCTGCACAAAATTTGGACGAAAAAAAATAATAATAACTAGATACGATCTCTTTGCGAGCAACGAGGGGTCTTCCGTCCGATTCTGAAGTAAAAAACGAAAAATCTAACAGAAAAAGTGATAAAAAAAATTCGGACATTCGGGGGAGCGAACCCGGGTCGCCCGCGTGACAATCCGACGCACTAACCATTCCGCCATTGAAAACACCGCTTCAAATTTTTAAATACGAAAATCTCGAGATTACCTTTTTTAATTCTAAAACAAATTACATATTTCGCATTCGCAAAAGAGTCACTATTAAGAGATCTAATATAAAAGAAAAATATTGGAAAACAAAAAAGTTGAAAAATTGCGTTTTTTTAAATTCGCTTCCGGTGTCGACCGGAAGCACTGACGGAAGATTTGAAAGTATAGTGCAAAACTACAACATGTCATCTATTAGTCCTGAAAATGACACCATTCTAGCTTTTGTCGTTTTTGAGTTTTTGTGTCGACAAAATGGTCACTAAAAATTCGATTAAAGGTCGATAACTCCCGACCGGAAGTGATTTTTCAAAAATTAAAAAAAACGAATCAAGTTCATATCATGATACATCATCTCTGAAAATTTCAAAGAAATCCGTCCACACATCTCTGAGAAATCTTCTGCACAAAAATTGTAAGAAAAAAAAAGGAAGAATAATAATAAAAGTGAAAAAGAAACAATAGAATAATAGAAGGGTCTTCCGTTGGAGACGGAAGACCCTAATAAAGGTAAAAAAGAAACCGAAGAATAATAGAAGGGTCTTCCGCTGAAGACGGAAGACCCTAATAAAGGTAAAAAAGAAACCGAAGAATAATAGAGGGGTCTTCCGCTGAAGACGGAAGACCCTAATAAAAAAAGTGAAAAAGAAACCGAAGAATAATAGAAGGGTCTTCCGCTGAAGACGGAAGACCCTAATAAGAAAAAAAGTGAAAAAGAAACAATAGAATAATAGGAGGGTCTTCCGTTGGAGACGGAAGACCCTAATAAGAAACAGAGTAAAAACAATATGTTCCCAAACTCCGTTTGGGGAACATAATAACTAGTGCTAATTGTAACGGGAACCGTTACAGATGTTCCCCGAACGCTCCCAAACTCCCTTCTCGTGCCATATTCCCTGTAAGTTTCATTAAAGAAGGCAAAATCTATGCATTTAAGACGTAAAAAAACGTTTTCCCAAAACTATACCAAGTATTTCAAATTTAAGCAATGCAGGCGTGCGCATGTGATTGCATAAGCGTAATGACGATATCATCTTGTCTACACTATTTTACTCATTTGCACGTGCACGAACGTGCATGATGACCATACCTTCTTGTAGGAGTCCGTCTATCTATGTTCCTAATCCCATCCTGTTTGGTTGAAAAACAAGGGAGTTATAGCCATTTAAAGTTTAAGCCAATCAGATTGCAGCGCACATGCATGCGCGTGTTTTCATTACAATTCTTATATATCATATTTTAGGACATCTCAAAGTATGCTTATGTTTTAAATTTCAAAGCATTTCGAAAAAAAACAGAAAAGATATTGAGATTTTTGTTTCAGCCAATCAGAGCAAAACACACGTGCACGCACGTGCATGCATGTGAATTGTGACCACACTATCTTGTAGGAGTCCTTTATGTCTATCTATGTTCTAAATCTCATGCTGTTTGGTTGAAAACCAAGGGAGTTATAGTCATTTAAAGATTCAGCCAATCAGATTGCAGCGCACGTGCATGCGCGTGATGTGATAAAAAAACTGTAGTACATCCTAATGCATGTCTATGTTATAAATTTCAAAGCATTTCATCATAAAACAAAAAAGATATTAAGATTTCTGTTTCAGCCAATCAGAGCAAAGCGCACGTGCATGCGCGTGAGTTCATGCAAATTTGACCATGTCATCTTTTCTACACATCTTATATATCTTTATATAATGAGTTTCAAAATATTGTATCAAAAAATATAAAAGTTACAACCATATTAAATATATCGGTCATTTTACTCATTGCACGCGCCCGCACGTGCATGCGAATGCGCGCAAAATGACCTTCGTTCAGCACATCTACACAACATGCCTACTAACTCTAAAAAGGTTTTAACTTAGTTTGGTGAACAGTTTCTGAGAACACTTCCGGACAAAAAAGTACCGGAGAAGAAATAAGAAGAAAAAGGAATAATAATAATAATAGTAAGAAACAGAGTAAAAACAATATGTTCCCCAACTTCGTTTGGGGAACATAATAATAATCATAAGAAACAGAGTAAAAACAATATGTTCCCAAACTCCGTTTGGGGAACATAATAAGATGTTATTCGGATGTTAGATCCACTCGCATACTCGCTACACTAACATCTAACAATATCCCGTTGAGGATCATGTCAGAGGTCAACTTCGGAACAACTCGAGGTTTATTTGCTTGAACAAATATACGATGAATTTGCAGGCGAAGATTAGATTTGTTGATAGAATTTGACCTCTGACGTGACCCTCTATGAGGTGTTGTTAGATATTAGTGTAGCAAATATGCTGTGCGAGAGGATCTAACATCTAATTTTAATTAGATTGCTTAATTCTTTGAAAAACAAACTCAACAAAATTAAAAGAAAAACAGTTTATTATAACTTTTTAAGATAATAAATAAATTATATAATTATTCTAAAAAAGCATTTGATTGTGTTGACAATATATTAAGAAAGCATTAGAATAACGAAATAAAATAACAACAAATGTGTTCTGATAGAACAAATAAAACCAGATAACATTTCATATAATTCCTGGTGTTTACTTCACTCTATTCATTCTCCCCTTTAGAGATCTTTCAGAATTCCATTAGACACTATCTGTGGGTAGATTACATGAATGTGTACATGTATATATATTTTAATTTAAATTGAAAGAACTTTATTCGGTAATAACCAATATTTGCCCCCCAAATCAAACTTTGATGGAGATATATTTAATTAAGTTCTTAAACAGGGGAGTATATGCTGACTTCAAAGCACTGAATATTGTCTTCAGTAATGACGCCATATGTAAGTAATGACGTCACAAACATGACGTTGATTTCAGTTTTTTATGAATTTTACAGAAAAATGTACACATTTCGTCGATATTTTGAGTAAAAGTCACCGAGCGCATGTGTGTTAAGTATCAATATTTTGATATAATGTGTAGAATGATAATATCAATGAAATATGTCAATATTGTTCCTGAAGAAACTTGCGCTCTATAAATTTTAAAGCTAAAATTGTTGAAATTTTGTCCATTTTGTCCTCTTTCTGAAAAAGGATATAAAATCGGACTAGTTACTGACGTCATAAAAACAAAAATTGTGAATACACTGCTTTGACACTATAATATTTTCTGTTAATTTATATTTCTCATACAATTAATTGAATTCAGCACATTTCAGGAAGTTTTCAAAATTTGACTTTTGTGGGGGCAAATATATGCAATATACCGCATATAGTTCTTTCATCTCTTTTTCTGACACTACATAATCCTGGAATGTGTCCTTAAATAGAATATCCTTTCCATTAGTTCCTGCATATGGAGTTCTTTAGTTGGAGAAGATCGTTTCATTGTTACTTTTGAATGTTCTTGTAAAGATTTGTTTTATTGGTTTCTTGTAACTGATTTTTTCATTGGTTACCTCTGCTTAGACTTTCGAGTCACCGTATTGGTCGCTGGAGCCTTATGCTCCGCCTCCCAGGCCAGCTGGCGTTGCTTCTCTTTCTGTCTTTCCTTTTCTGCAGCCTAGAATTTCATCCAAAAGAAACTCTTATATTTTAGATCTTTCTGCATTTCTTGTTAAGCAATCGATTAATTATATTGTTTCTATTATTATCTTGTTTCGCTTGAACAACTAGTAGATTTAAGAATTAGAATTATAGTGATCTGAATTACATGCTATCTCCAGTAAAGCACGAAGTACAATCATATTTTTTTCCTCATCTTATACCTTTAATTCGCTTTTCATTTTTCAAGATAGAAAATTTGGCTAAGCTACCTTAAAATCCTGCATATATAAAAAAACATTTCCCCACCTCTTCCTTCATTTTGTTGACAATGTAATCAACTTGAATACATAAAATCTCCACTTTTCGTTCGTTCGAGTCCTCCTTGTTTTGTAGACTTAGCGCTCGATTCAGGGGGAAGAAATCATAATTGTGCCTCTCAAGCTGGTTATAAACAAACAGCTCCAGGGTGGAGAAATCGTTAGGGCGGATCTCCGTCAGATGTATGAAGAAGAACAGATAGGACCACTGGTGATGTTCCGTTTTCACGTGTTTTTCAAAACCCTGAAAAAAGTTCAGTCAACATCTTGTATTCCATTCACTATGGGCAAAGAAAGAAACTGATTGATTTTCAAACAAGTATGTCAAATCGCATATTTTCATGTGGTCAAGTTGTCGAGGTTCGAGGGGAAAATATTGGTTTGTGGGGATTTAATTTTGTGGTTTAAAAACGTTTCGGCATATGACATTTTACATTTCGTGGTGGTCATAAGTTCGTGGGTATATCCATACCTCGAAAACAACGAAAATTAAATCAGATAAACTAATTCTTGTATTCTTGAAGTATAAGTAGAGGCCATATCACACTGTAGGTATTGTGAAGAAGAAATATAAATTTTCTTGCATAAAATAAGTACGCTGTATAAAAAAGAACTTTGTATAGAAAGTTTGCTGTCTATATTCATCGACTTTTGTGAACGTAAAAACATATGCTTGCATAAAAAATCTGTTAACATATAAACCAAGGAATGTTTTAGTCAAATTTGTTGTGCAGCCAGTGATAACATGATTCTAAGGCATGGCTATCTAGGGACTATATTTATTTAAGGAATAACTGTCTTATTTTTCGATTTCATGATGTGATCAATCGATTGGGTTTTGTGATAATTTGCATAAACGCCGAAGGCGTTTATGCATAAAATTATCACGCAAGCCAATCGATTTATCATCGTCATGAAATTGAAAAATAAGACAGTTATTCCTTATATTTACATGCTTTGATTTCGCCAATCCACGTGCTACAAACCCTGCTTCTGTCTAGCTTTTTGTTCCGCCCTGCACGTGGTTTTTTTGGAACCGCGCCAATACTTTGATGGGAAAATAAAGTACATTTACAATTTGTAATTTTATCTCGAACAAAGACATTGGAAATGTAAATATTCTCATATTAAGAAAAGTAGGACTTGGGTTTCAAATATGTATGCATTTTTATTTTAAAATAGATATTGATTAATGCAAACTTCAAAGCAGCTTTTACCAAAATGCGTGGACTACAACAGTAACAAAACAACAACAACTTATATTTCTTTGTTCCTTTTGATGTTTTAATTTGTAGCCAATAAAAATGTGATACCTTAAAAATCTAATGTTAAAAGTTTCTATCTTTTCAAAACATATTCTGAAAAGGGTTCTTAAAAACAAATTCAAGGCATGTGAACTGTCCTTGTTACGTGTATTTGTTTAATCGTTTTGAGCACTTTTAGCATAATATAATTTCAACTTTATTCTCAAGTTATTCTTACCCCGCCATGTCTTTCAAAGTCATAGGATTCCCTGCTGCAGATGAAGCATTTATTCATCATATCTTTATCAATCGCCCACTGAAAAAAGAAAATGAAGCGTCGTGAAAATAATGATGGCTGACTCCTGATGTCACGTCTAACAAACGCCTAGTTGATGCGATCGAATTTTTCAAAACTTGCTGTTTACTGGGGTGTGTATGTGTGAATGTGTATATTTGGAGAGAAAGAATGTGAGAAAGGAGATGAGGAGGGGTTGGGAATAAATACCTTGGCATCTCGAAGCTCTGAGAAAGTGTCCACTATGATACCAAAGATGATATTCAGTCCGATAGTGGTGATTAGGATGAAGAACGTCACATCAAATACCGTCACCATGATTACTTCAGTATATTCAGACGTCATTAAATCTTCAAAGGTCTGAAGAATATCAACAAAGAAATAACTCAATATTTATATAAAGGAAGAAATGACATACGTTTGGCATCTTCCTTTTTATCATAAGTTACATGCTTGACACATATATTTGCAGTATTAATTGCACTTTGCTGAGATTAGTTTCATCGCAAAGTTCCCAAAATTACATTCTTGTATTATACATTCACTCATTATCATGAAAAAGAGATTACAACAAAGGAATACCGTATAAGGTGTGTCAACGAAGCCATGGTGAATCATGGTGATAAAACACTGGTAAACTGTTCGACAATGGCGTCCGTTCAATTCCTTGAAGAAGGATTCTCGTAACACAGCAAAGGCCACCAATGAGTAGCAAAAAAATAAAGCCAAGCCAAGAAGGGCAACCATCAACAATGCTTTACCTGAAAAGTATGTGTATAATACCATTTCATATATTGGAAGTTATCTTTAAAAAAAAGTTCTATAATACACGTACCAGAATGTATAAAAGTACAAACATAATTACTTTTTTATTTTGACAATTACATGTACTGTAGAAGTACTTTTTTCCGCATTGTATTTATTTACGCTATGTACGCGGTCACAAATTTTCCGCGGAAATTTGTCCAAGTGTACTTAATGTAAACGTAAGGCATAAAGTGACAATCTAAGAAACCTGCGTAATTTTCTACCTGCGGATTAAACAGAAATTGAGATTTTCCGCGGAATTATGACCCCGTGGAAAAAAGTACGTTTACAGTATTTACTTAAATTTCCGTTATTACGGAAGATCATTGCTAAAAAAAATTCAATCTCGCGTATATTTATTTAACAAGGTTTTTGAAAAAAGTAGAAAATTTCTGAAATTTTTCTATGGTTACAAATAACAGAAAACTTTATGTAAATATTAGGTGCATCAGAAGTGTTGTGAGCTACAGTTAATTTCCACTAAAAGTTTACCTCAATGAATAAAAAACGCGTTTTCCTTTAAGTAAAATATCATACGAGAAATCTAATTATGTACAAACGATCTTATTGTTTCTTACCATTGGTGGTAACAGCCATTCTGACTCTCTTCAGTAGCTGATTTAATTCAGCCAAATGAAGCAAGTGGAATGAAAAGAAATACCCGTAGTAAATGGTGCCTAGAATGGAGCACACGAAAAACAGCTGGAAAAAAAGTTAATCTTATTAAAGGCAAGCTGAAAGATAAGTAATTTTATCATTTCATGCGGTAAAATGAAGCAAAACTTTCATATTTTATAGAAATTATTGTAATAAATTTGAAAAACAAAGAATTCGATAAGGTATTTAAAAAAACAAAGCGAGTAAATAATGCTTGAACGTTCAATCAAAAAGGAAATTCACAAGTATATAATATTATACATACTTATACGAAATAATTGATTTATCGACAGTTGGACGTGCTATCGTTCAAATGACAAATATTGTGAGAAAAAAATAGTTAATTCTTTATAAATCGATATCAATAATACACATTATACAATTCAAATAGTTTCTTACGAAATAATAAATTGTGTATATGTTGTAAATTTCAAACTTAAGATGTGACTGGTCTTTCTTTTCATGCCATGATCTGACGTCATCATCATCGTCATCATTAGACGACCTGAAAAAGATGGCGAAAAACATGATCAATTGGTTACAAATAAATACTGTTTTATTTCGCAATCTTCTAATCATACACAGGAAGATTACTTCCCTATTTTCCTTTTAAATAAGATACAAAGTAATGAAAACTCACAATTTCTTTTTAAGCCAGTTGTATGGCGGGAACGTAGGTTGGTTAGAAATTAAAAAGGTCACCAACATACACAAGCTAAGGAAATTGTGTATTCCTCCGAATATGTACAAAAACATATAGTACGTATTGCTATTTATGGTAAACTCCGGGACTATGCTACAAGAAACAAAAATTAAATTTATAACATTTTTCCATCCAAAATAATTTTGTTATAAATGGAATAGTCGGGGAAAAAAAATTACCTTCCCGTGTTGGAGGTTCCATTCGCGTTTTTGGGGTCTCTCCACGTCACCATGATGACAGAGCTAATGATGAAACTCAAAAGGAGGACGATATAGTTCATGGGAAGCCTATAAATAACAACACAAAAATCGGTGAAGAAGATGGAAAGTTCGAACTTTCGAACGATTACCGGTATATTGTTCAGTGAAAAGAAAATATGTGAACATTCCAAACAGTTATAAAAATTCCTAAGAGCAAAAAGAATTCCTTTCTAGAAATAGTAATTATTCAAATAGGGCTAAATTAAAATGTCTAAAGATGTCCATTTTTGATATCGTGGTAAAACGAAACGTGACTCGTTTTCGCTAGCTAATTGTTAAGCGATTGTGAGAGGGAGTAGTGTATTAGAAACCCTTGGCAAGCTAAGATTAACGTGACCATACACAATAGAAATGTCGCTTTCCTTAATTTTAATCTGATAAATCTCTAGTTTTTATTATGACTGACCACATCTTGAGTAATATCCTTCCCACAATATTGGAGTGGATCTTTCGTTGATATTTGATGTCCTGAATAATGTCGCTGGCCCAGTCCATGAAATCCCTTATTTTGTTACTTGGGGACGTTCTGTCCACCTCGTACTTAAACTTTTCTTTGATCTCTTCTCTAAGCACGTTCTAAAGAAATCCAAATATATTATTTTCAATGATCAGAACGAAACCACTGTTTTAAAAAGCTTAATCATCACACGGATAAAATATAATGTCAATGTTATTTACAACAAAAAACCTTTAAGGTTTAAAATCATGGGTATCTTTTAAGGAGCACTTTGAAATTAAATTGGATATAATGGGAGGCATGGATATTACATAAAACAATAGCAATTCTCAAATCTTGGACCTAATGTCAATGTTCTTTGTAGACATAGGTACCGAAACTTTTGGACAAAACAGAAATTTATCAGTCATCTTTTGCTAAATATACATTTTTTTTATTTTAAAGAGTTCAGGATTTTAAGTACGAAATACATGTATTCATACAAAAGAGAAAAACACTTCATAAAGTAAAGAATTTGAATATAAAAAGGATCTTGTAATTCATAAAATTTTTAAGGAATAAAAATAATGATTAAAATGATTCAAATGAACAATTTCTTTCTCGTGTTCTTATATTCAGTACGTCTACAACAACGGTAAGGAATAAATTATTTCAAGCGTTCAATATAAACTAAACATCTTTTATTGAAAATAATATTATTAAAAAAATGTCATTAACATAAATAACTTAAGTAATATTCATGACAAAAATCATTCCTGCTGCACAATATGTCATAAATAAAGGTCTAAAAAATAAAGTTAATTTGCTTACCTTATCTTTGACTCGAAAATAAACTTTCTGCAAGGCATCATCTTTCACAATCTCGATGGACAAACTACTGGCTGCATAGTAATCCCAAGCCGCTCGCTGTATGTCTGTTTTTAACAAGTCTGTAAGTATTAAAGTACAGAGAGAAATTTAAAAATACTACGATTGTATATTGTTTTAACGTCCCTCTCGAGAATTTTTCACTTATATGGAGACATCACCGTATGCCGGTGAAGGGCTTCAAATTTTGACCTTTACTCGTCACTCAGGGCCATTAAGCAATGAGGGATCTATATCGTGCCAGCGCCTGCCGCTGACACGGGGCCTTAGTTTTTAAGGTCTCATCCGAAGGACCCGCAACTTTCACTTCAAAGTGCCGAGCGCATGGCGAAGGAACAGTTGCTACCCATTTTTTATCGACTTAGGTCAGTCGTGGCCGAGATTCGAACTCACGACCTCCCGGTCACGAAGCGAGCGCTCTACCGACTGAGCTACCGTGAATGGTAAAAATACTACGAATAGGGTATTTAAAGGAGACGTGTAATACTGCAGCATTTCTTTAAAAAAAACAACCAAAATTGTCTAATTAAATGATGAAAATATGGATGTGATCTTTTTTGAAAAACAAGAGGCCAATGGGCCACATCGCTCACCTGAGAATCTTTGACCATTCTGCTTTTTACCAGATTTATTGTGACCCCACCCTACCCCAATGATCATAATTTAAACAATTTGAAATCTACAATACCCCAGGATGCTTCACATAAGTTTCAGCTTTTCTGGTCAAGTGGTTCTTGAGAAGAAGATTTTAAAAGATTTTTCCTATATACTTCTATATAAAACTTTGATTCCCCATTGTGACCCCGCCCTACCCCCTGGGTCATGATTTGAACAATTTAGAATCTACACTACCCCAGGGTGCTTCCATATAAGTTTCAGCTTTTCTGGTCCAGTGGTTCTTGAGAAGCAGATTTTTAAAGAGTTTCCTATATATTTCTATGTAAAACATTGATTCGCCATTGTGGCCCCGCCATACCCTTGGGGGGCATAATTTGGCTAATTTAGAATCTACACTACCCCAGGGTGCTTCCACATAAGTTTCAGCTTTTCTGGCCCAGTGGTTCTTGAGGAGAAGATTTTAAAAGATTTTTCCTATATATTTCTATGTAAAACTTTGATTCCCCATTGTGACCCCGCCCTACCCCCCGGGGGTCATGATTTGAACAATTTAGAATCTACACTACCCAACGGTGCTTCCACATACGTTTCAGCTTTTCTGGTCAAGTGGTTCTTGAGAAGAAAATTTTCAAAGTTTTTCCTATGTATTTCTATTTCTATGTAAAAAAATTGATTCCCCATTGTGGCCCCGCCCTACCGCAGGGGGTCATGGTTTGAATAATTTAGAATCTACACTACCCCAGGGTGCTTCCATATAAGTTTCAGCTTTTCTGGTCCAGTGGTTCTAAGAAGAAGATTTTAAAAAGATTTTTCCTATATATTTCTATATAAAACTTTGATTCCCCATTGTGGCCCTGCTCTACCCCCGGGGGTCATGATTTGAACAATTTAGAATTAACACTACCCCAGGGTGCTTCCACATAAGTTTCAGCTTTATTGGCCCAATGGTTCTTGAGAAGAAGATTTTTTAATGACCCAACCCTATTTTTGTCTTTTCTTGATTATCTCCCGTTGTGAGGGGACTCGGCCCTTCATTTTAACAATTTAAATTTTCCTTT